TCGCAGGGGGCGCCGGCCGCCGCGAGAACGCGGCTAACCTGCGCTGCCCAGGGCTGCCGGGCCAGTGGCAGCCCTGTGTCCGTGTCGGCAGCCAGCGCAACGCTATCCAGCATGGCAAGACGGGCGACCCGCTCGCCGCCCATAGCCTGCAGGTTGCTCACAAAGCGTGCAACCTGCAAGGTCCAGTAGGCGGGCAGCGGCAGCTGCCCCGTCTCTGCCAGCACAATGAGGGCTGGGGTGCTGTCCCGCACACCCAGCAGCCCTCGCAGGTACTCCAGCTGTACCCGCTCGCATGCCGTCCTGCCCTGCAGAATCAGCTGCGGCGCCCAGATCTCTGCCCCGTACGACAACGTCGGCAGGACGTAAGACTTGAACGCACGCATGCTGAGCAGGGGGTCCTGCAACCCATTCTCGGCCAGGCGGCGACGCAGCAGGTGCATCGCGCGCCGCCCAGCCTCCGCCCGATACGATGCCGCCGAGGCAAAGGCCTGCCGGCAGTGCAGGTGCACGCCGAGGTATCTGAAGGTGGGGTTAGGGATGTGCCACGTGCTTCAGTGTGCAGCGCGCCTGATTATTGACGAGGCAGCCGTACACCTGGAAGAAGACAGGCAGGGAGGAGAAAGAGCGCAACAGGTCAGACCGCGGCTGGAACCGCCTGCTCGCCTTGCCCGATGATGCAGGTCGTCCCTGCTTCCACCCGCACATGCAGCCACGGATCAAAGCGGAACGCAGCCCGCTGCAGCCGCCAGCGAGGCTTTGGCAGGCTCCCTCACCGCGTTGCCAAAGGTGAACCCCACTTGCTGCTCCACAAGCGCCCCCATGGCCTTGTGCTTGCGCAGGTTGGCGTCAGTTAGGTCGGCAGCATAGGACGGGAAGAGCGGTTCGCAGCCCCGCGCCTTGAGCTTTGCGGCAGGCTGCAGCAGCAGGCAGCAGCGCAGCAGCAGCGGCGACGGCGGCGGCAGGGCGTAAGGAGCACCCCAGGCGAGGCATGGCCTTCATGGTAAAGGTAAAGGTAAAGGTGGGGAAGAGCCTCCACAAGCTTCACTTCCCGGTTTTAACGTCTAGCTTTAGACCATTATTTGATCTGCCCGACGCGCCAAGTGCAGTACCCCCCACTAGTAGTGAATGGGTCCCGGGGAGGCCTGTGCCGAAGCCTTGGCGATTCTATTAGGCGTTCCCGAAGGAATTGGCTTGGATTGGCGCTGAGCCGGTCAGCTATGCCGCGTTTGTCCTCACAAAGTTTCGACATGGGAGGAATCGAACCTGTGCCCTCTCGGAGGGTTTAGACACTAGCTCCAGCGCCTTCAAAGAAGGCCTTTCTTAGCCGCGGCCTAGGGTCATGGACGCTTGGCCAGGCACCCGGTGGCGCTCCGCTGCCGCTACCACATGCTCCACCTGCTGGCAGCTGTCCCGGCTTCCCTCTAGCTCCCGCCACCTGCTCTCGTTGCTTGCGGTGTTCCCTTACCTTGCGCTTGGAGCTGGCCACGCGCAGCGTGAGCACCACCTTCTGCCTGAACCAGCTGAGGTTGGAGAAGCCGGGGCCGAAGGGCGAGGGGCGGCGCCCCGCTTGCTTGTTGCTTGTGTGGGCTTAAAGTCTGGTAAAGCAAGAACTAGCTTGCAACATAGACTCCCCGCCGAAACGGGACGGGAACCGGGCGAAAGCAGAGAAAGCAATAAAACAGGGGTGGAGCAAGGCGACATGCAACGCAAGCAGCTGACAGGGCACGCATCGAAACGTGTGTATGACTGGCAAAGTGGCATGGCGCATTGGGGAGAAACGCAACGGTACGGGAGCATGGGCTGG